TAATATATTTGGTTTTATTGTGAATAATTAATTATAGAATTCCTTGGCTTTGTGTTACATGATTGTGAACTTTGAGGCTTGTTCGGTTCTAGTGGGCTTGCCTGCTAGGCTGGTGTGATGGTCATAGACCCCCAGGTTTGGGTCCTGACATGAGAGAAGTATCCGCACTTATTTTACAAAAGTTAATGCATTAATTAAGTTCGAGGATGAATTTTCATAGGGGGGAAGAATCTGAAATCTCACCTTGAGTAAAAGAATAAGTTAAGAAATCCATAGGTGAGGATATAGATTACATGTTTTGAATATCAAACTTAGTTTTAAACTTTAAAAGGAATTCATTGATACTTTGGTTATCTATTACTTTTAGAGCAAAAATTTTTCTAAGTCTAGAAGGAGCCAAAACATGTGATTTTATAGAACAATCTTTTGAAAATAAAAATTGGTGATAATGATTCCCTTGATATTTAGATGAGCAAAAATGATTTTTTTCATAATTTTTGAAGTACGTTTCCTATGGTAAATGAGAGCTGCAAATTTAATTTTAGTCAAACTTTTTCAATTTTGTTTTTAAAACCAAAATTTATCAATACAGTTATTGAAATCATCTGAGGTAAAAGTAAAAGATGTATTGATTTTAAAATGATTAATTTGAGATTATTAGTTTAGAAATTGATTGCTCTGATTATTGTGAGTTAGGAATGATCAAAAACTCCAAGGAAATCATTAGAGAAAAGTTGTGATTGGATTTTCAATCGACATGAGTGGATACACCATTTTCAAAATTATTTTGATAAGGAAAGTTGAAGCATGATTTGAGGAAATTTATTGAGTATGATTTTTGCAAATGTCTATGAAATGAAAGTAATTATGGATGAGAAAACTATTTTAAAATTTGTTTTGCAGCCTACTATGTACAAAAAGTATTTTATTATGTATTAGTTTTCAACAATGGGGGACAAACACCTTATTGATTGAAGCACTCCATTACTCCGATCTTCGGGCTAGTGTGGGTACTTGATATGATTTATGATTAATGCATGTATTCTATGATGTGCATGTTAGATATGTTGAGGCATGAAATGTGTGATGGATTGTATGATGATTTTCCATCTAAGATGCTATGTTTATGTGTATGATGTGTATTGCATATATGACATTAGGTGATTGATAAATCATGATGATTGTCATGAGATTACGAGTGCAGTGTATGTTTTCCATACTACATGAGAAAATGGAATAAGCATAAGGAGATGCCATGAGATGAGAATATGATGTCAATTCCATATACCTTATGAGATGAGTAATCATGTATGTGATGGATATTCCACATACCAAATGCTATGACTATAAGAACTTAACGAGTGCAATTGATTCCATTCACATAGGGTGTAGTGACGACTTCACTTTTACGATACATCATAAATGCCTAAGGTGTAATAGGGTTGCATATTGCCAACCCAAGGTTAATGGGGGTTAAATTATCGCAATATGTCAATTTTAATATTAAAGGAATAATGATGATTATTATGTCTATGAAATGTTACAAGTTAAGTTCATTGATTTATACTCTGTGATGGCATGAGAATGTGCTTTGTGAAGTAAACTAGGCCTTAAGGATAGTCTTTAAGAGGTAAAGGGACTTAAAAAAGGGCAAAAATGTAGAATTTTGCTCAAAAATAGAGTTTTAGAGGTTATCTATTGATACATGTAAAACATCTATTGATAGACAGCAGACAAAATGTGATAGGAAGCATTCTGCTTTCAAATCTATCGATAGATGTTCATCATCTAGCAATAGACGAGTCAGAAAATTGTATGTTTTGACTTGTTTTGAAGGTTTTTCAAAGGTGAAAAGGTTTTTAAAAGTTATGTAAACTTGTTTTCATGTAAATGCTATTTAAATTGTGTTTAAATACCATGTTTAATGAACTTTATGATTAAATGATTTATGAATGGCATGAGATTTCAAATGCATGTTTATGAAATTTTTATACCCTAGCTTGTCCCCTGCTTGTATCCATTCATGGAGTCTTTGTGACTCACACGTGATTTTCTCCAATTACTTTTGTTTACAGATCAATGATAACAAATAGCAATAGATAGCAACCAGTGTCATAGAGACTTGATCCATATCTCTTTTGGTAGGTGATTTAGTAGCCATTTGTAGCCTAGAGATCTAGTCATGTTTCGCTTACAAGTTGGTCTTACCATATGTTTATGTTTATAGACTATGAACATGTTTATGCTAATGTTGTCAATGTTTGGGCATTGTACATTGATAATGTTATGTATGAGATTATGATGATGGCTCGAGAGCCTACATGGACACCCGAGGGTGTTGTTGACATTTAATGTTATTGGGCATTGTGACAGTGGCACTTGTTACTATATGTGAAATTTTTGAATTTACACAATTAAGTTGAGAAGTTCCTTAATGGTGTTATAAGTTTTATGAATGCATACATGATGATATTATATGTTAATGGATGTTATAAGACACTTCCGCATGCAATGATCAATGTTTAATGATGTTTATGATAAGAGGCTGCTTGGGCTTAGCAGGTTATGCTCGTCCGAGTCCATGCGCTGATCATGATCCTTCCAAGAAATGGGATGTGATGCAAAAGTTTGCATGATACATTCTCTAGATTTCAAGATAGCCAATGATAACTCTATTATATAGAGTTATTTTGACTCATTTTGGGAGCTTAAGTAGCTAGATCTTTGAGATTTTAGGTTCGAATTTTAGCATTTTAGGTTTTTTTTTTAGTTTAAGTTTGATTACTTGTTAAGTGATTAATTTAAGTTATTTTAGTTAAATTTTAGGTTATTTTATTTTAAATTACTTTAAGAGTAGTTATTGCTAATTTCTCTTATGGCTTTTGTAGGAAATTGATGAAAAAGACTCATTTGATGAAAATCAGTGCAAGTATGGTGATAGCTTCATTCATATATGTTTCAGTATTTTGACCATATCTCTTTCTAAAAAACTTCTAATGAGGTGATTCTTAGACCAATCGAATTATAAGAAGAAGCGAAACAATGTTTATGTTCACCAATTGGCCTAGTTCTGATTGGATCATGGTCAAAATATTTGTCAAAGCCGGATCACTGCAGCAGTATGTAAAGACTGAACATGATGTGGTATTGGGAGAAAATCTTTCAATCCAGAAGTCCAATTGATGTGATTCTTAATCCATTGGAAAGTTAAGAGACAGGGATAAAACTTTTATGTTTACTACTTTGCCCAGTTCCTAACATATCAGGGTGAAACTCACATTTGAATTTGATAGACTGCCACAGCGCTGGGAGAACAAGGCTGCAGCGTTGATGAAAGGAAGCACACATACAAAATTCCAGAGAGCTACAAAAGGCTACAAAAGGCTCAATCGGTCTAAAAATGGCCTAAATCATCTTCTTAACTAAGTATAGCCTAGGATTTCGCCTCGAGAGAGAATCAAACAAATTCTAAAACTTAATACATAATTCAAAAATTTGCATTCACATAAACCTTTTCTAAATATATACAATAAATCTAAGGAAAAGACATAGTGCTCAAAATGTAGAAATTTCAACCTAATAGCAAAGCTTAGCATGAGAATTTATATAACACTCAAACAATATTCTCATCATTGGATAGGTAAATTAAATGAAACTAGTACAAGTAAATCTAGTTGAAAAAATAACAAAAATAAATTAACCTAAACTATCACAAAAACTAATAACAATAAAACCTTCCCCCAAACTTAAATTGCACATTGTCCTCAATGTGAAAAGTTAAAAAGAATAAGAAAAAGAAACTTCCCTATCAATGGTGGTAGTGCCTTGAAAGCTCTAATCTTCTTTCTCCTCATCTTCATGCTTTCCAAATCTGCATACATAGCAAAACAAGCTAGGGAGAGATTAGAACTACTTATTTAAATTGAAAAACAAAAAGGAACTAGAATAACAACTAAATCAAAAAGAATATAGCTTGGGTTGCCTCCCAAGAAGCGCTCGTTTATAGTCACTAGCTTGACTTTGGTTGAGGTCTCATTCACCCTATAAGGAGGTTGGAGTTTGCATGGAAAAAGCTTGAGGTGTGAAAGTAGTCTCCTCTTAAGATAAGGTCGTAGTGGCTTTAACTCAAGATTTGGTGCTTGCTCAACCCAAGATGGTGGAATAGGCTGACTTTTACCTAACTTCTCAAATTGAGTTCTTCTTGGATAATGCACTTTTGGTGTAGCCTTCAAAACATGTGTAACATTTGTGAGTTCTTCATTCTGGTCCTTTGTTGTTGCCACTTGAACCAAACAAGCTTCAAGGAGTTTCTTTGGATTTTCCATATCAATAGCCGCTTTAGGTAACTTAGCAGCTGTATCTAGGAAAGGAATAGGAAGCACATATGGCTTGACTTGTGGTGGTGTAAATACTTCCTCCTCTTGCTTAATTTTTTCATCTCGAACTTGATTGGTGGAAGTGTTACCTTGATCTACTTTATCTTCATCATCTACCACATTCTTGCCATTTATCTCATCAAGATGCTTACCATATTCTTCTTTTCTAGGATTAGGCTCAGTGTCATTTGGTAAAATTTCTTGAGGCCTATTGTTGATGTAATTAACAAGTTGGCCTAATTGAGTCTCAAGATTTTGGATTGATTCTGCTCGACTTTGAATGATGGCATCATTCTTTGTCATGAACTGTATCAGCATATCCTCCAAAGTTAGCTTCTTCTCAAGTATAGGGGCTCTAACTTGTGACTGGAAATCATGCTGAAAAATAGGTTGTGATGAATATGTAGGATCCTGATCATTACTCCATGAAAAATTTGGGTGATTCCACCATGAGTTGTAACTGTTGGAGTATGAATTGTTTTGCTGCCCATTGAAGCTTCCATCAAATTGCATTGATTCAGAATAGGTTGGACAACAATCACTTGAATGCCTATCTCCACAAAGCTCGCATGCCACAAAAGGACTTTGAAAAACATTAATACCCCAAGTATCAATTTTTTGAGACAAAGCATCAACTTCGGTGGCCAAAGCACTGATAGCCAATTCATAATCACTAACAACCCTCCTAGGCACAAATTGTTCAGATGTCCACCGATAGTTACTATAATTCATCACCTCAACCAAAAGTACCTAAAAATAAAATAAAAAAATTTTGAATTAAGACTAATTTGCTTGGTATTAGTATCAGTATAAATTCTAGAAACAATTCCCCGGCAACGGCGCCAAAAACTTGTCAGTTAAAATTCTACTACGCAAGTATACGTATCGAATAGATAGTATATTAGCAAGCAGAGTATCGATCCCACAGGGAATTGATCTAAAATTTTACTAAGTACTAAAATTAAAACAATTTAGTTTTATTCAAATAATTAAAATCTTAATTCTAATTGAACTAAAAATTACGCAACTAAAACTAATTTGATTACAAATTAAAGCAATAAGATAATTGGGCAAACAGCAAATCAAACAAGCCTAGGATTACAATATCCCTCACACTTCATCTAAATCTTACCTCTCTTTCTTAACTTATTTCAATGGGTTGAATTGCTAACCTAGAGTCCTAAATTATTTATAAGGGTCTCCCGACTCATCTTATAAAAATATCTATTTTAACTAAAACACTATATCCCTATGTGAATTGAAATTAAAATAGACTCATTCAGTTCAAGCTCTAATCTAGCTACATATGGCCTATAGGTATATCCCTATCCTATAGGAAAATCAATTAATATGATCATATGCTATCCCAATTTTAGTCTACACTAAACTCCCTTTCCCAAGTTTGTTTAGGTTTCTAGATCAATTTAATTGGTGGCCAAGCAATTAAAAGCATTAAGAACAAATTGGAATAAACAATTCAAATCCCATTGAAAATAAGCAAGAAAGAGATTAAAAATTAGATTACATGTGAGTTCAATTGCAATCCTAGAAAAATAATTTAGTTCATAGTATCTAATAAAAACAATATCCAAAGAAATTTAGCCATGAATCCAAATCAAAGAAAATAAGAAAAACACAAAGGTAAGAGAGAAAACTAATAGTTAGAGATTTGTGATCTTGATTCTCTCTCCAATTCTCTTGTTTCCTTGCTTTGTTCTTGGCTCCAAATCTCCAGAATAGTTGCTTGCTGGCTCACCTACAAAATCTCTGAAAAAGGCTCCTTAAATAGGCTCCAAATAACCTAATTTTTGAAATCCCGTTAACTTCCCTTATTTTTAGGAAAGTCGCGCAGCGCTGCGGTGCTACTTCTCCAGCGCTGCAGCGCTGAGCTCTCTAGAATTTTGTATGTGTGCTTCCTTTCATCAACGCTACAGCCTTGTTCTCCCAGCGCTGTGGCAGTCTATCAACTTCAAACATGAGTTTCACCCTGATATGTTAGGAACTGGGCAAAGTAGTAAACATAAAAGTTTTATCCCTGTCTCTTAACTTTCCAATAGATTAAGAATCACATCAATTGGACTTCTGGATTGAAAGATTTGCTCCCAATAGCCAACAAAAATTGAATGACATGTTAGAGTTGCGAAAGGTCTTCTTTAACAAGGATGGGTTAGGCTATGACTTCACACAAAAAGAAACCCATCTTAAAAATTTCTTTGTCAAGGATAACGAAAAAATGATGGTTTTTCAAGATGCATTTGTTGTTTTAAATTTAAACATCTTACTTTGTCTTGCCCTTTGAGAGTTGTCTCACAAAAAGACAAAGTTGTAAGTATTCATGGGTTCATGATAAGATGATAAAAATTAATAAGGTTCACAAGGGAACCAAGGTTGCTAACTATAAAAGACCTAAGAAAATTTGTGTACCAAAAACAAAAGTTTCAGTTTCCTTTTTATAGGAGGAGCATACATGATCAAAATCAATAGCACGAGAAAGAGGTAAATTAAATCATTTATTGGTGATGAAGATTATTGAGGTATGGCATGTGCAATATTGATTACCAATTCTTATATATTTGATTTGGTACATGTCTTATAAAATTGAAAAATATGCTTGCCAAGGATACTTAATGATGATATTATTTTGGTAATTGATTATGTACTCCTATTGAAGAAATTCTCTCTTGAATTATCATTTATATATGGATTAAAAAATTCTTTCAAAATGATGATTGATAGTCCTTGGACAATGTATGATGAAATTGAAAATTAATATTTGAATATATCTAGGACATACATTAGAACTAATGTGCATATATTCTTGAAATTAAGAGTATTTGAGACTTATGTTAAATATTTATTTGAATATTCATGCCTTTCTAGTTCCATGAACATATATGTATAAGATTGATATTTTGAATTTTTTTTCTAAAATGCTCATTTATCATATACTTATGAGTTATCCCCACATTGGTTACTTGATCCATCCAAGGGAAATTAAGATTATGTTCTAATATGATTAATCACTTTGCTCCTTCTCCTTGTTAGAATTAAACTAATGTATGTTTAAGGGAGATTTGATTATTGACATTCTCCTATGATTCTTGAGCACTTGGAATCCTCAACAATGAGCTTGATGAAATCTTAACAAATGGTGTTATAACTATGCACTATTGGATGACAATATTTATGTTTATATTTTTTAACTTGCACTTAAATGATGTAATGTCCACTCTTTTGAATATAAATATTTATATCTATGTGTGCATTATTAGCTGAAAATATATGTGTTGCTCATTGTTTGTGTTGACTTGATATATTCCATAATGCTCTTATTAAACTTATCTTGAATGGAAATATAACATGACTTTGCATTGACGGTTAAAGATTATTGAACTTAATGGTTATCTATATTTGATGATTTTGGCTAACCTTTGTCTCTTGAATTTTAGTGTTCAACGCTCACACTTCTTAACCTTTTTTTGGTATAACAAAAAAAAAGGAAAAGATTTATGAGGACATTGAAATGCTCTTGTACTATTTAAAGCTAAAACTTTTTGAAAACTTCTTGAAGCTGCATGCATGTATTGAGGGGGGGAGTATAGACTTCATATTATTTTTCAAAACCCTTGTCACTTGAACTTAAAAGTTTTCAAACAAGGGCTTAGAGACTAATAGAGTTAGGGGGAGAATTTTCAAGAGATTTCAAATGCAAATATGCTCATGATTTTGTCATATCAAAAAAAAGAGATTGTTAGCATTGGATATCTTCTGTTTTGATTTGACAAAACTGCATGATGTTCTGGTTTAGATCTTAAGCATTTTGAAATTATCTAATATCATGTTTTGATCCTCTTAAGATCATACAAATGTTTGAAAAGAAAATTCATGATTCGAAAACATCACGAAGCTTTCAAACATGAGTATTCAGCTAAGAAAATATAAAGCAAACATATCTTAAATTGACATTTGATTGCAAGGGAAAAACAAAGAAGAAAGAGCTAAAGTAGAGCATCAAAATGACAAGGAATGTTGAGGAAACAAAGCTCTAGTTGATCCTAGAAAAGCTCTAGTCCATCTAATGACAAAATGAGTGGAAAACGTGAAAAACATGAAGATGTAGTCGACCTTGAGAAAAAATGCCTGAATTTTTCTAGACATGTGAAGCCATAGTTGAACCCATAAACTTTGTAGTCGACCCTAAGGTAGTATGCAAGAGAATTTCAAGACTTGAAAAGCTATAGTGGACCCTTAAGCATCTATAGTCGACTACACAAAACCAGAATTCAAAATGACAAGCTCTCGAGAAGTGGATCAAGTAGAAGAAACTTATATTCAACTATAGAAGCCCTAATTCAAGATTTTTAAAGAATATAGTTGACTCGAGGAGCGTTATAGTAGACCTTCAAGCTTCAACAATGGCTAGATTTAATTTAAACTTGTGTCTAACAACTTAAAACATTTTTACAACTATAAAAGCTGCTTTTGAGTCATTTGTAAGTAGGAGAAGACAACACCAAAGTGGAAAAACCCTAGAAAGACCCTCGAGCTCGTTCTTTTTCCTTATAGCATTCATCTTAGTGTTCTAACAAGCATTTGAAAGCCATCCAAGCTCTACACTTGCTTATCTTGACCTAATTTTATGAGATTGATTTTTTCTCCCTGTACACCCAAACTTAAACCTTTAGCACTCAGCCTTTGTGAGGCAAATCCTTACTATTACTCCTTTGTACAAACATTTATAAAGGTTTTAACTTAACCTTGAAAAGTTACTGTGAGGGTTGTCACTCGATCCCTTTAAAAAGCTGATGTAAGGGTTATCGCTTAATCCCGTGAAAAAATAATTGTAAGGATTATCATTTGATCTTGTGAAAAAGTTGATGTAAGGGCCATTGCTTGATCTAGTTAAAAAACAAGAATCCTTTTAATGAATTGAAAATTTCTTAGTGAGCCAATAGAATGGATGTAGGCATTTAAGAAAGATGAACCACTATAAAAATCCTTGTGTCTTGATGTATTTTTATACTTTGTGATTTATTATTGATAGCTACATCAAAGAAAAATCACTTAACTGGTTTTTGACATAAGAAGAAAAATTGTTTTTAAAAAAAGGGTTATTTTTCATTAAGCTTGCAAAAGAAATTCACACCCCTCTTGGCATTTATTGTATTGAGCTTACTACACTAATGGTTCCATTGAAGATCCAAGACTTATTGATTAATGAGGCTTTGATAGGTTGGTGTTGAGCCTTGAAAAGATGGTACTGGTAGGTGAATGGACTTGCATTCAAATTATTTTAATAGAAAAATGCATGAAGAATGTAAACTCAATGTTTCTCAAATATGTGTTTTTATCAATTGTGCGTATAAATGCTTTGATGTGGTTTTGCTATAATGTGGGTAGGCATAACATGTATACACATAATTGTATATATGTATAACATTTCATATACCTATAACGCCCTGTGTCATGAAACGGCAATTAATACGACTTTAAGGATAAGATTAAGAACAACTGAGGTCAATCAAGGAGTTTATGAGTGGTGAAAGAGGAAAAGAATATTTTAAAATAAAATATTTCATACGTAATTAAATAATAATATTTTATTAAAATCATAGTTATGGAGTGAAAAGGAGTGATGGAGACAAATTGGGACAAATTAAAATATTTTGGAACCTCGAAAGTCAAATGAAAATTTATAAAATTAAATAATATTTTATTAATAAAATATTAAAATATTTCTACAATGAGTGATGGACAAACTCACATAATTTATGCATTGAACCTAAGTGGGGGAGTTATAATACAATTTTGTTGATTTGATGAATAAAATATTATTTTATTCATTCTAGAATATTTTTTTAATAAGTGAAATTTTAATGATATAAGTATTAATAAAAGTATAAGTTAGTTTGGAAGAATGAGTCGTGGAGAATTAATTGAGAAAATGAGGATATGTG